GATGGACAGGCACTACATGATGGACAGGCGCTATGTGATGGACAGGCGCTATGTGATGGACAGGCGCTATGTGATGGACAGGCGCTACGTGATGGACAGGCGCTATGTGATGGACAGGCACTACGTGATGGACAGGCACTACGTGATGGACAGGAGCTATGTGATGGACAGGCGCTATGTGATGGACAGGAGCTATGTGATGGACAGGCGCTATGTGATGGACAGGAGCTATGTGATGGACAGGCGCTATGTGATGGACAGGCACTACGTGATGGACAGGCACTATGTGATGGACAGGGCTATGTGATGGACAGGCGCTATGTGATGGACAGGAGCTATGTGATGGACAGGCACTACGTGATGGACAGGCACTATGTGATGGACAGGGCTATGTGATGGACAGACGCTATGTGATGGACAGGGGCTACGTGATGGACAGGCGCTATGTGATGGACAGGCACTATGTGATGGACAGGGCTATGTGATGGACAGACGCTAATGTGATGGACAGGGCTATGTGATGGACAGGGCTATGTGATGGACAGGGCTATGTGATGGACAGGCGCTATGTGATGGACAGCGGCTATGTGATGGACAGCGGCTATGTGATGGACAGGGGCTATGTGATGGACAGGCGCTATGTGATGGACAGGCGCTATGTGATGGACAGGCACTATGATGGACAGGAGCTATGTGATGGACAGGCGCTATGTGATGGACAGGGGCTACGTGATGGACAGGCGCTATGTGATGGACAGGGCTATGTGATGGACAGGAGCTACGTGATGGACAGGCACTATGTGATGGACAGGCGCTATGTGATGGACAGGCGCTACGTGATGGACAGGCGCTATGTGATGGACAGGGGCTATGTGATGGACAGGAGCTACGTGATGGACAGGCACTATGTGATGGACAGGCGCTATATGATGAACAGGGCTATGTGATGGACAGGTGCTATGTGATGGACAGGCGCTATGTGATGGACAGGGGCTATGTGATGGACAGGGGCTACGTGATGGACAGGCGCTACGTGATGGACAGGGCTATGTGATGGACAGGTGCTACGTGATGGACAGGTGCTACGTGATGGACAGGAGCTATGTGATGGACAGACGCTATGTGATGGACAGGGGCTACGTGATGGACAGGGCTATGTGATGGACAGGGGCTACGTGATGGACAGGCACTATGTGATGGACAGGGGCTATGTGATGGACAGGCGCTATGTGATGGACAGGCGCTACGTGATGGACAGGTGCTATGTGATGGACAGGCGCTATGTGATGGACAGGGCTATGTGATGGACAGGCGCTATATGATGGACAGGGGCTATGTGATGGACAGGCGCTATGTGATGGACAGGGCTATGTGATGGACAGGCGCTATGTGATGGACAGGAGCTACGTGATGGACAGGCGCTACGTGATGGACAGGCGCTATGTGATGGACAGGGCTATGTGATGGACAGGGGCTATGTGATGGACAGGCGCTATGTGATGGACAGGCGCTATGTGATGGACAGGCACTATGTGATGGACAGGAGCTATGTGATGGACAGGGGCTACGTGATGGACAGGGGCTACGTGATGGACAGGGGCTATGTGATGGACAGGGCTATGTGATGGACAGGAGCTACGTGATGGACAGGCACTATGTGATGGACAGGCGCTATATGATGGACAGGGGCTATGTGATGGACAGGTGCTATGTGATGGACAGGCGCTATGTGATGGACAGGGCTATGTGATGGACAGGGCTATGTGACGGACAGGCGCTATGTGATGGACAGGCGCTATGTGATGGACAGGGCTATGTGATGGACAGGAGCTATGTGATGGACAGGCGCTATGTGATGGACAGGAGCTATGTGATGGACAGGGGCTATGTGATGGACAGGCGCTATGTGATGGACAGGGGCTATGTGATGGACAGGCGCTATGTGATGGACAGGAGCTATGTGATGGACAGGGGCTATGTGATGGACAGGCGCTATGTGATGGACAGGAGCTACGTGATGGACAGGCGCTACGTGATGGACAGGCGCTATGTGATGGACAGGGGCTACGTGATGGACAGGCACTATGTGATGGACAGGCGCTACGTGATGGACAGGCGCTATGTGATGGACAGGTGCTACGTGATGGACAGGGGCTACGTGATGGACAGGCGCTATGTGATGGACAGGTGCTACGTGATGGACAGGGGCTACGTGATGGACAGGCACTATGTGATGGACAGGAGCTATGTGATGGACAGGGCTATGTGACGGACAGGCGCTATGTGATGGACAGGCGCTAGGTGATGGACAGGAGCTACGTGATGGACAGGGGCTACGTGATGGACAGGGCTATGTGACGGACAGGCGCTATGTGATGGACAGGCGCTAGGTGATGGACAGGAGCTACGTGATGGACAGGCACTATGTGATGGACAGGCGCTACGTGGTGGACAGGGGCTACGTGATGGACAGGGGCTATGTGATGGACAGGCGCTATGTGATGGACAGGCGCTATGTGATGGACAGGTGCCACTCGATGGACCGAAGCTGTGTGATGGACAGAAGCTATGTGGACAGGTGCTACACTGTAGACAGGCCTGGTGCAGCCCCTTCCTTCCCCAGATGGAATGGAGAATTCTCTGAAGCTGTGTGAAGAGGAAGGACAGCAGGGTGGGAAGCATGCAGCCAGAGACTTCCTAGCAGATGCATGTGCCAAAGCCCAGCCACGTTCCATGCTGGCCTCTCTGCCAGCCTCTGCACTCTGCCCCTGAAGAGCACCTGGTAAAGACACCTAAGTGTATCGAGACCCAGGCTCCCGCAGCCCTTGTGGCACCAGCCGGGGCAGCCCCTGGGCCTCACTCATGGTGGGCAGGCTCGCTGAGCCATCTTGGAGGACTGGGGTGACCCAGGTGTCCCATAGGCCTCTGAGAAGCCTTGAGGTCTGCATACTGATGAGTGGCCCTGTGGGATGGGAGGCAGGACCCCTCCCCCTGCCCTATGACACCCTCAACCCTGATAAGTTCCAGGAATTGTCCTTTGCCATCAAGTTAACGCCCACTGCATGCTGGTTTAGAGCATTGAGAGTAATAGGGAACCAGAGTAGACTTAAGAGTAAAGGGGGTGTGCTTTGTCTACTACATTCTACAGGAGGTGAGGCAGATGGGACTAGGGATCTGGGGACCTTGGAGGGGGGACGGGATGGATACATAGATGGATGGTGGATAGGTGGATGAGTTGATGGGTGGATGAATGGATGGATAGATGGGTGGGTGGGTAGGTGGATGGATGGATGGATGGGTGGGTGGGTGGATAGGTGGGTGGGTGGATAGATGGATGCATGGATGGATGGATGGATGGATGGATGGGTGGGTGGGTGCGTGAATGGGTGGGTTGGTGGATGGGTGGGTGGATAGATGTATGGATGGATAGATGGCTAGATGGATGCATAGGTGGATGGATGGATGGATAGGTGAATGGATAGATGGATGGATGGATGGATGGATGGATGGGTTGATAGGTTAGGTGGGTAGATGGGTGGGTGGATAGGTAGATGGGTGGGTGGTTAGATGGATGATGGATGGATGGATGGATGCATGCATGCATGCATGGTTGAGTGGAAGGATGAATGAATGGGTGGGTGGATAGATGCATGGATGAGTGACTGGATGGATGGGTGGGTCAGTGTGTGGGTGAATAGATATATGGATGGATAGGATGGATGAGTGGATGGGTAGATGGATGGATGGATGGATGGTTGGATGGATGGTTGGATGGATGAGTGGAAGTGTGGGTGAGTGGATGGGTTGGTGGGTGGGTGGGTGGGTGGGTGGGTGGATGGATGAGTGGAAGGATGGATGGATGAGTGAGTGGATGGGTGGGTGGGTGGATAGATATATGGATAAATAGGATGGATGGGTAGAAGAATGGAAGGATGAGTGGGTGGGTGGGTGGCTGGATGGATTGATAGATGAGTGGGTGGATGGTTGGATGATTGGAAGAATGGATGAGTGGGTGGATGGGTGGGTGGGTGGATGAGTGGGTGGATAGATGTATGTTTGTATGTATGTATGGGTAGATGGATGGATGGGTGGGTGAATGGGTGGATGGATGGATGAGTGGAAGAATGGATGAGTGGGTGGATGGGTGGGTGGATAGATGTTTGTATGTATGGATGGGTGGATGGGTGGATAGATGGGTGAGTAGATGGATGGATGGATGGATGATGGATGGATAGATAGATGGGTGAATGGGTGAATGGATAGATGGATGAGTGGGAGGATGGATGAGGGGGTAGATGGGTGGGTGGATAGATGTATGTTTGTATGGATGGATGGGTGGATGGATGGATGGGTGAATGGGTGGATGGATGGATGATGGATGGATAGATGGATGGGTGAATGGGTGAATGGATAGATGGATAGATGAATGAGTGGAAGGATGGATGAGGGGGTGGATGGATGGGTGTGTGGATGCATGGATGGATGGATAGCTTCAAATCTGAGCAGCAAGGAAGGAAATCCCCTCTTCCTTCCTCTCCTCTGTCCAGTGTTTTCATGCTTGGAGGCAACAGTTGCAGCAAGCATTGGGATTGCAACAATCACTTTTTAAAGTTCCAGTTTGACCACAGAACAATGGCTGGAGGCCAGGACTTCCAGCATTCTCCACTGGGGCTGGGCTGAGGCCTCCATGGGCCCTGGCCTGAAGGCCTGTGCCCACACACCCCAGGCAGACTCAGCAGTTCGGACAGACAGGAGCTCCTCTGGCTGCTCCTCAGAATGCCCTGCCCTGTGGATGTCTTGGAAAAATGGGAGGGAAGGAGTTAAACGCAGCGTGGAGGTCAGCGGGTCACCTTGGCTCTCAGGGCTGGCCCTTCTGCGGGAGTGGAAAAGTAGCAGAAAGCTGCTGGGAGTAAGCAGAGAACTGAGAGTGGGGGTGGGCGGGCTCTGCCCGCAGGCCCCGCCTCCTGGCCCACCGGGCAGCTGCTGCGCTCACAGCCCCGATGGCTCCCGGCCCCAGCGGACGCCTCCGCCTGCTGCTGCCGCCGCTGCTGCTGCTACTGCTGCTGCTGCTGCTGACCTGCCTTCCGCCTGCTGGGGCCAACCTGCTGAGTCTGGAATGGCTGTGGTCCAGTAAGCTCTCCGACTCCCCGGCCACCCTGGTCCCCCGTCCCACACATGCAGGCCCCCGGCATGACCCCACAGAGCCAGCACCGCTCTCTGCCAGCCCCGAGCTGCCTAGGGAACACCAAGGGCCTGGCCGGCCTGGGGCCTCCGCCCCCCCCACGGCCCTGGCCACCCCGGCCGCGAGCTCCGACACGAAGGAGGAGAACATTGCCGGCGTCGGAGCCAAGATCTTGAATGTCGCTGAGGGCATCCGGAGCTTCGTCCAGCTGTGGGATGATGCCACTCCTACCCCGAACTCGGCTGTGGCGGACCCCCCCACCCACACAGGGCTCTCCAGCAACCCCCAGGACAGCAGGACTACTCTCTGGCCAAGCAGTGGAGCTCTGGGCTCACCGGACACCCAGAGCCCCGAGGCCAGCACCCTGGCTGTGCCCACCCAGCCGTCTCCCTCTTGGAGCAGGACCCAGGCACCCCAGAGGGGTTCCACAGCACCGCCGGTACCCACAGGTAGAGCTCCTCTCTCCTCCATGCCAGGCAGAGCGCCCGCCTGGCAGCCTGGGCACCTGGACAGGGGAAGACGCTTGCCGGTGGTGGCCGGTCCCAGCCCGCGGCACGGATGCCCCGAAGGACCCGAGGCGCCCATGCTCATGCCACTTCTGCTTCCGCTGGTGGTGGGTCCCCTGGCCACGCAGAGCGTCTCCTCCGCGCCTCCCTCTGCCCCCTCCACCCGCCTGGCTCAGGCAGCAGCGCCAGCACCGCGTGGAGACTGGGGTGCTTGGTTCTCCCACAGGGCTGGTTCCCCGGTGTCTGGTCTCGCTAATAACGCAGCCTTGCTGGGGGCTGTCCCGCAGGCCCCTGCCGGCCGCTGCCTGCCCCTGCCGCCCGGCCTTCCTGTCTGCAGCCGTCTGGGGTTCGGGCACTCCTGGCTGCCCAACCTCCTCCACCACAAGAGCCGTGAGGAGGTGCGGGCTGCCGCGCGGGCGTGGACGGGCCTCCTTCGCACGCACTGCCACCCCTTCCTTGCCTGGTTCTTCTGCTTGCTGCTGGCCCCTCCGTGCGGCCCGGGCCCGGGCCCGCCGCCCGCCCTGCCACCCTGCCGCCAGTTCTGCAAGGCGCTGGAGGACGCCTGCTGGGGCGGCCTGGAGGGGGCCGGGCTGCCCATCCCCTGCGCCTCGCTCCCTGACCAGGAGGAAGGGCACTGTGTGTTCATTGGGCCGGCTGCAGGTAACTGGCTGGCCACCGCCCCTCCTCCCTTTTGCCTTGCCAGATGGAATCAGCCGGGGCTGACTTGACCCCCGGCCCGTCTCTGCCCCTCCAGAGCCTGTGGGGGAGGGGAGGGCGCAGCCCGACTGGGCTCTGGGGTAGGATGGGAGCTGGGCCTGACCCAGGCCTGGGTGTCGCCTGGGTGTCCGGGGTGTCGCCTGCCCCCGGTGATCTCCACTGTGTGTGTGCTCAGTCCTCACAGTACCTCTCCTGTGTCCATTTTGTCCTGTCACAGGACATAGCCACATCCCTGTTCTCCGACACAGGACGTAGCCTTGTGTCCTGGGTTACATCTTTGGTCACTGACAGGAAGCTGACAGGCAGAGCCCTGATGTGGTGTGCCTCGGGGGCTGTCATTCCTCCAGATCCCGCCTCCTCCTGCTCCCAGCGGTTAGGCTGCACATCTCCAATTCTGTGGCTCCCGCCAGCCACGGGGCGGGTGCAGGCCTGGGCCCCCGCGATGCACCCACAGCCTTGCCATGGGGGGGCCCGTACCCCGTCACCCTTGCTGCTTGGGGAGAGGTGAACAGCAGGCAGGGACAGGCTGGTTCTGAGCACCTCCAGAGCGGAGGCAGTGGAGGTGGGTCTGGCAGTTCCTCCCGTCTGAGCCTCTGAGCCGGGCTCCCCTGCCAGCCCTTGGCGCGGCTTTGGTGGAAGGCCTTGGCTGTCTGTCCCCACCTCGTGCGGAGCTGGCCCTGACCCTCGGCCCTCAGGCGCGAGCCAGCTCTGTGGAACCCAGGTCCGGCGTCTGCAGTCGACGTGACGCTGCCCTGCTGACCCCCAGCGAGCCTGGCTACTGCCAGGGGTTCTTCCCCGCAAAGGCCCTGGTGGAGGCCTGGGGTGAGGAGGGAGGGCAGTGCCGGGCCTGGGAAGGACATGGGAGCCGTGAGGATGGCACAGGGTGGCCGCACCCCAGCGAGGTAGAGATGAGGAGGGTGGGGTGCGGGGGCAGGCTGGGGGCAGGGGCTCTGGCTGGAGCCTGGGCGGTCACCCGCCCTTCATCTGGGGGGTGGCAGGAGCAGCAGTGGGCAGCTGTGTCCCCCCCATCCCACAGCCGCTGTGCCGGGCAGCTCAGAGTGCCACTCCGGCAGGCATGGGGAGGCCTGGTGTCCCCTACGGGGGGCGTGGCCACACAGGGGCATCCGACCTCCCTGAGCCTTGGGGGCCACGGTGGCACATTTTGGGGGGGGGACAGTGGGCTCATCACTGTGACATCCCATAGGTACCACCTTGCCCTGTGCCCGGGACCCCCGGGACCCCTCCCAAGGCCCCTGCCCTGTGCCCAGCCTCATCCCTCATCCCCCGCCCTGGCAGAGCGCAGCAGCGCTCACTGCAGGTTTGCATCTTGCTGCTTTCATCGGAGTAGGACTTATGGAATGTTACTGTCCTTGACAACGCTTCAGTTAACCTGAGGTTTCTGTTTAACTTTGATTCAGGAAGCGGGCAAGACCGCCTCCATGGAAAAGTACCTGAACGCTTATCTCTCCCTCCTGGCAATCTGCAAATATTTGTTGTATGGTGCTGACAGAGCTTCCACATGCCGCCAGTCCCTCTGAGGTGTACCAGCCCTCCCGCGCTGCCCACTGCCCGGGGCATCCACCCCCACGGCCTCCCTGGGGCTCAGGGGTCCTGTGTGGTGGTCTGGGAGCCGTGGCAAGTGTGATTTTATGTACAAATGCATTGCGTATGCGACCACAGTCCAGTGCACTCCGTGTGAACGTGTGAGGTCAGTCCCAGGGCGGGTTGTGAGGTGCTGACCGCCGCTCCCTGTGCTCTGTGGGGTTGGTCCTCTGCAGCTCCACGCTCTGCTCTCCAAGTTCAGCTTGTTCAGATCACACAGATAGGCGAGGTCCTGAGCCTGGTTTCTTAACATCCACCAGGCTCATCTGTGTCAAAGAGACAAGATTCCCATCATCTGTAACTGCGTCTGCAACTCCTCCCCAGCTTCCCAGGATCCCCTGGGTTCAATCCACGGCGTGGCTGCGGTGAACATGTGTGCCTGTCTGTGTGTGTCTGTGAGCCTGTGTGTGTGCCTGTCACTGTGTGTGTCTGTCACTGTGTGTGTCTGTCACTGTGTGTGCCTGTCACTGTGTGTGTCTGTGAGCCTGTGTGTGTGCCTGTCACTGTGTGTGTGTCTGTCACTGTGTGTGCCTGTCACTGTGTGTGTGTCTGTCACTGTGTGTGTGTCTGTCACTGTGTGTGTCTGTCACTGTGTGTGTGTCTGTCACTGTGTGTGTGTCTGTCACTGTGTGTGTGCCTGTCACTGTGTGTGTGCCTGTCACTGTGTGTGCCTGTCACTGTGTGTGTGCCTGTCACTGTGTGTGCCTGTCACTGTGTGTGCCTGTCACTGTGTGTGTGCCTGTCACTGTGTGTGTGCCTGTCACTGTGTGTGCCTGTCACTGTGTGTGTGCCTGTCACTGTGTGTGCCTGTCACTGTGTGTGTGCCTGTCACTGTGTGTGTGCCTGTCACTGTGTGTGTGCCTGTGTGTGTGCCTGTCACTGTGTGTGTGCCTGTGTGTGTGCCTGTCACTGTGTGTGTGCCTGTCTGTGTGTGTCTGTGAGCCTGTGTGTGTGCCTGTCACTGTGTGTGTCTGTCACTGTGTGTGAGCCTGTGTGTGCGCCTGTCACTGTGTGTGCCTGTCTGTGTGTGTGCCTGTCTGTGTGTGTGTCTGTCACTGTGTGTGTGTCTGTGAGCCTGTGTGTGTGCCTGTCACTGTGTGTGTCTGTCACTGTGTGTGAGCCTGTGTGTGCGCCTGTCACTGTGTGTGCCTGTCTGTGTGTGTGCCTGTCACTGTGTGTGTGTCTGTGAGCCTGTGTGTGTGTCTGTCACTGTGTGTGTGTCTGTCACTGTGTGTGTGCCTGTCACTGTGTGTGTGCCTGTCACTGTGTGTGTGCCTGTCACTGTGTGTGTGTCTGTGAGCCTGTGTGTGTCTGTCACTGTGTGTGTGCCTGTCACTGTGTGTGTGTCTGTGAGCCTGTGTGTGCCTGTCACTGTGTGTGTGCCTGTCACTGTGTGTGTGTCTGTGAGCCTGTGTGTGTGCCTGTCACTGTGTGTGTCTGTCACTGTGTGTGTGCCTGTCACTGTGTGTGTGTCTGTCACTGTGTGTGTGTGCCTGTCACTGTGTGTGTGTCTGTGAGCCTGTGTGTGTGCCTGTCACTGTGTGTGTGCCTGTCACTGTGTGTGTGCCTGTCACTGTGTGTGTGCCTGTCACTGTGTGTGTGTCTGTGAGCCTGTGTGTGTGTCTGTCACTGTGTGTGCCTGTCACTGTGTGTGTCTGTCACTGTGTGTGCCTGTCACTGTGTGTGCCTGTCACTGTGTGTGCCTGTCACTGTGTGTGTCTGTCACTGTGTGTGTGCCTGTCACTGTGTGTGTGCCTGTCACTGTGTGTGTGTGCCTGTCACTGTGTGTGTGTCTGTCACTGTGTGTGCCTGTCACTGTGTGTGCCTGTCACTGTGTGTGTGCCTGTCACTGTGTGTGTGCCTGTCACTGTGTGTGTGCCTGTCACTGTGTGTGTGTCTGTGAGCCTGTGTGTGTGTCTGTCACTGTGTGTGCCTGTCACTGTGTGTGCCTGTCACTGTGTGTGTGCCTGTCACTGTGTGTGTGCCTGTCACTGTGTGTGTGTCTGTCACTGTGTGTGTGTGCCTGTCACTGTGTGTGTGTCTGTGAGCCTGTGTGTGTGCCTGTCACTGTGTGTGTGCCTGTCACTGTGTGTGTGCCTGTCACTGTGTGTGTGCCTGTCACTGTGTGTGTGTCTGTGAGCCTGTGTGTGTGTCTGTCACTGTGTGTGCCTGTCACTGTGTGTGTCTGTCACTGTGTGTGTGCCTGTCACTGTGTGTGTGCCTGTCACTGTGTGTGTGCCTGTCACTGTGTGTGTGTGCCTGTCACTGTGTGTGTGTCTGTCACTGTGTGTGCCTGTCACTGTGTGTGCCTGTCACTGTGTGTGTGCCTGTCACTGTGTGTGTGCCTGTCACTGTGTGTGTGCCTGTCACTGTGTGTGTGTCTGTGAGCCTGTGTGTGTGTCTGTCACTGTGTGTGCCTGTCACTGTGTGTGCCTGTCACTGTGTGTGTGCCTGTCACTGTGTGTGTGCCTGTCACTGTGTGTGTGTCTGTCACTGTGTGTGTGTGCCTGTCACTGTGTGTGTGTCTGTGAGCCTGTGTGTGTGCCTGTCACTGTGTGTGTGCCTGTCACTGTGTGTGTGCCTGTCACTGTGTGTGTGCCTGTCACTGTGTGTGTGTCTGTGAG